ACTTTCATATTCTTTGCCTTTTTTTCCCTGTACACATTACACCTTCTGCTAAAAGGAACTTATAATTTTATTTATATTCCTTTTAGAATCTAAATTATAATGGATATGTGACTATATATATGGGCTTCATGGAGTATGGTACGTGTACAGAACATTCTAGAAAACCAAAAAAAAGGAAAGAAAAGAAAGGTAATTTTTTTTGTATGATATACATAATATTCTAGAAAACGAAAAAGCAAGGGGAAAAAAAGCCGCCTCTTGTTAAATTACCTTTTGGCCCTTTTACTTATAGGAGAAAATGAGATTACCTCCACCATTCATCCAAATTTCGAATTACGCCCACTTTATTTTTTTATATAATAGCACATACATCTTCTTGTTTCGGTGTGTTCTTTCGTCAGGAATCACACAAGCGGACAGCGTTGGAGTGTGAAAATATGTTCTTTCATCAGCCCATGGAAAAGTCCAGGATTGTTGACACGAGAGGGCTCGCGCCAGGGATGAGCAATAATTAACTCAGGCTTGTTATCACTCAAAATAAATTCTTCCTCTTTTGTTGGCCTTTTTAAGTTTAATGATGAAAATTTGACAATGAATAGAGGCTCCAGTGAAATTCAATCCAAGTATCCTAACTAAGGACATTCAAACGAAAAGGTATTAGTTAAAAATTAAATTAAATTAAAAATAATAATAAATTAAGAAAATTCAACGAGACAAGTACTCTAGTATTAATTGATCGGTTAACTGCAAATAAACTCATTATATGTAGTTATATTGGTAAAAATAGCCCCCCTTACGGTTTCCTGCTGGGGAAAAAAAGCAGCAAATGATTTTAAAGAGTTTCAAATAGATAGTAATTCTAGAATTTCTCCTACCAATTAGTTTTCTAGTTCATTATCCTTAATTAACATAATCATTTTAAGCATAGAAGAATAACTCACTATTCATAAAAGAAATTAAACTAGATTCATGCAATTAATTCTAGAATTCCTATAAGAATTAGTTCTACATCTTAGAAAATAAAAACAAAAAAAATAAAAGGGAGAAAATAAAAATAAAAACTAACTCTAAAGAGGGTTCCACTACAACAGAAAAGCTAATCCGCGAGGAACAAGTTTGTCGTTGAAAGTCAAGATTTCCTCGCCGTAGTGTGTTGGCGAGGAAAAAACTTTGGTCACCATTTCCTCGCGGTAGGGTGGTCAAGAAAAGTTTCTACGATGAATATTATAATTTCTCGTGAAATCCTTTTTGCGATGAATATATTCTTTTCTCGTTGTTACTCTTTAGCCTTGATATTTTTCCTCACCTAATCTCATATCTTTTTCATCGCTAAACTACAGTTTCCTCGCCAATGATACGTGAATAATATTTAATTTATATATAATAAAAGTTATAAAAAAACTATTTTCGTCATTGTAAGTATCTTTCAGTGAGGAAACTGTTCCTCACCAAAGATAAATCTTTAACGAGGAAATTAATTTTCTTCATTATATGTATCTTTTTCTCGTGGAAAAAATTCCTTAGTAAAGGGACTCAAAGACGAGGAAATTTAAATTTACTGTTGTAGGTTGTACCCCATATTCCTCGCCAAAGAAATTCAATTATGAGGAAATTTACATTTATCGATATAGGTTATTGGTCTATAGCGAGGAAAATTACTTTTGCCGTTATAGGTTGTATCACTATAGTGAGAAAATATGTTTTTGTCGACGTACTGTAACCTATTGCGAGGAAATATTCTTTTGACGACGTAAGTATGTAACCTATTGTTAGGAAACACCTATTTCGAGGAAATTTACTTTCATCGGCCTAAATATATAGCGAGAAATCTTATAATGAGGAAATTTTATTTCCTCAATAATAATGCTATTACGAGAAAAACGCTCAAAATATATAATTATCATCAATTGTCACCACAATACATCAAAACAATTAAAATAAATAAAGCAAACAAGTTTCCACCATAAGTAACAATGCTAGTCTAAAGCAATAACAAATGCAACACGATCAAATAAACATTTATCCAAGTTTAAGTTCACTAATACTAAGTTGATGGATGTTGCTTGGAAAAATTATCCATAAACTCCTCAAACTTTTAGGCTTGCTCCTCCAATCTTTGGATTACATCATTTTGCGCATCGTTCTTTTGTTGTTGAGTTCCTACAAGTTGTTGGGTCTCTTGAAGCTGTTCTTGTAACTCTTTATTCTTTTCAGACATTTCACTCATCGAAGAATGAGAGAACCTTAATAGTGGTGGTCTAGGGCCAAAACCACAACCCTTAATGTAGCCTGATTTGACTTTGAGAACTTTTGCACAAATTTCCTCATCTGTCATTATTCGAGTTCCATCATGTTCAGTGGTATCTGCTCGCATCTTTATCATTTGATCCTATAAGAA